GGACAATGTAGATTCGGCCCTGAGAGAAAACAGGCTTTCTGTTCCATTCTGGCCCCCAAGACACATCGATGGATTAGAGAATTTCTACAGGATGCAGGTTTTTGCCAGAATCTGATCCCCAATTACTCTCTCTTGGAAATCCCTTTATGAAGCCACAAGGTGTGTATGGGGAAACAGGAACCCATGGTATGGGAAGAGGAGGCAGAAAAGGCCTTAAAGTTAGAGAGACTCACAAAAACTCCTGCTCTGGGCTTGCCAGATGTACGAAAGCCTTATTCCTATATGTTACACGCGTGACTGGGGACAGCTGTAGGAGTCTTGACCCAGCTGCTAGGTTCCTGCACTTGGCTGGGGCTATTTATCAAAGCAACTTGATGTAGTTTCCCAAGGCTGGCCACCCTGGGCTGTTGCCCTGTCTGCCATTGCTGTCTTGGTGGCTGAAGCAGATGAACTTACTTTAGGACGAGAACTCACAGTCCGAGTTCCCTACTCTGTTTTGACTCTTATGGAACATAAAGGAAATTATTAGCTGACAAACTCCCCAATGGTCAGATATCAAAACACGTTATGTGAAAACCTGTGTATCTGAGTAGAGGTTGTTAAGATTCTAAACCCAGCCACCCTATTGCCGACTGATTCAGGCCCAACCCCCCAGCATGACCGTTTAGAGGTGATGGACAACGAGGTGTTCTCCAGCTGGCTAGACTTGACTGATCAGCTTATCAGGCATCTGGATGTTGAGAATTTCACAGATGGCAGCAGTTTTGTCTGGGATGGCACACATTTTGCTGGATATGCAATAGTGACTCTGGATGCGCTCTTAATCTGTTTTTACTGAAGCATGTCTGCTGGACCTGTCGGATCTGAACAAAAAGTTGAGCTCATTGCTCTCATATGGGCACTCCAGATCCACTGCATGGTATGAGCAAACATCTATATGGACTCTAATATGCCTTTACTACTCTTCATGTCCAGATGTATATAAAGAAAGGGGGCTCATTAACTCAGCAGGAAAACGTTAAGTATGGACAAGAAATTCTGGAATTGCTAGAAGCTGTATGGGCTCCTAAGGAAGTAGTTTACGCATTGCCAAGGCACCAGAAGCAGGAGCCAAAAGCTTTTGGCGGAACTGAAAAGCTGTTAGGAAGCCATGTAAGCTGCCTAACAGAGGCAAACTCAGCCTCACTGACAAGTATCCTTTATTCCCATGCCTTTATGTGAAGGGGACCCACGGTACACACACAAGAACAGGCTTGGTTAAAGACCAAGAAAGGGAAATTTCACTACCAGGCAGATGGTGGAAATTTGCCAATGGCTGTACTGCAATCCCAAAAGTCACTGCACCTACATTTGTCAAGCAGTTTCATGAAGGAACTCACTCAGGGCTGACAGCTCTTTGAGACCACTTGGCCAGCATTTTTATGTCCCCAAGCTCTCCGGAGTAAGTAAGATGTATGTGAAAGTGCAGATCTGTGTGCCAAAAAACAATCCCGATAAAGGCCAAGAGCGCCACCCCAAGATGCAAAGTGTTGGAGGAAACTCCTTTTATAACTTGATTGTGGACTTTACTGAGATGCATGGACCAGAGGATGTAAATAGTTTGCTGATGTTTGTCTGCACCTTCTCAGGATGGGTGGGAAGCTTCCTATTCAGACTGAGAAAGCCTGGGAAGTGGCCAGGTGAATGTTAAAGGAAATCATCCCTTGGTTTGGAATACTTGTGTTTATTGATCAGATAATGGGCTGCCTTCGTGGCTGAGATGGTGTTATTCTTGTGGCAGGCACAGTTGTTGGTCATGCACCCACAGCCATTACACCTACTGCTTCTGCTTTCTTATGGTTCAGGATATCTGTTTTAACCCCATCTATTGCTCTTGGGAGCAATGGGCTAAGTTCGGAAGCTCACCAGCATGGGGAGCTTATTAGCGGACACAAGTTTACAACCTCAAAAAGCCAGTATCTATATATTTTGATGTGTGCACTGTAATGTTAAAACTCCATCTAATGACCTCAGGTATGGGAAACACCTGGGGAGACCTAGCCTGGGAGAAAAACTATATGTCAAATTGATAAGTATATGTGCCTGGAAGACAGTGCTCATGTAATGATGCTGTGGAACCATAAACCCCTAGATCAAGATGATGCTCTTTGACCCAGAAGGGGTCCAAGCATCAAAGATAGAGGGAGGGAGATAATGAGAGATGACTGCAACAGTGAACAAAAACAAAACAGAAAAAAAACAAAACTGGTTTGAATAATGTCACGTAGCACCTGGGGCGAGACCAGAGGAGGGTCACCTCCACCCAGAGTTTAAAATGGCCAATGAAATAACACGTGATTATGTATGGGACAAGCTGTACTCCCCATTTCTGTAACCCACTCTAAATGATGTATAGGAAAGCCCCCTTTGTTCGCGAGCTCACCCTTTGAATGAGAATCTGCTGAGTCACTGCCAGCCTGGCTTACTAAATGCTTCCCAAAAGCCTTGGTGCCCTTCTCTGTCTGAGCCTTCTACAACACCAGTACCACCAAAAAAAAAAAAAAAAAGGACTGGAGGTGTGGCTCAAGTAGTAGAGTGCTTTCCTAGCAAGCATAAGGCCCTATCCACCAAAAAAAAAAAAAAGGAATTTGAACCCTTAAAGCCAGTTTCAAGCTAGCCCCATAACCTGTCTTTCTCAAAAAGATTTTAGTAAAATCATAACTTTGACAAAGTTAAATTATACATGTAACTCCTTTGTATCTTTATGGTGTACCTCTTCTATTTTGGACTTTAAGATGCTACATCCAGCCAGGTGCTGATGGCACACACCCTGTAATCTTGGCTACTCAGGAAGATTGAAGTAGAAAGCCAGCCCAGGGCAAATAGTTTTGGAAACTCTATCACCAAAAACCCATCATAAAAAAGGGCTGGGAGAGTGGCTCAACCAGCAAGAGTGCCTGCCTAGCAAGTGTGAGACCCTGAGTTCTAACCCCAGGACCTCCAAAACAAAAAGATGCTGCATCCCCTATTGTAGAAAAATGATAAACTTTCATGACCACACTAATAATTGTCTTCCTTAGCTCTTTAGTATACATAAAGCATAAACAAAATATAAGTAATATAAAGATACTGGGTTTGTGTTGTAGGTCAAGTGGTAGAGCACCTGCCTAGCAATTAAGAGACCCTGAATTCAAACCACAGTACCACAAAACCTGTATTATTTCATTTATACTTACTCCTAAACCTACCCATAGTAACACTATAGGTGCATAGGAAAGTGAAACTATTCGAACAATTCTATCAGCTTTTATCTTAATTATAACTGCCTTCCATCACTCTGTGTTCTTTATATAATAGAATTCATCTCAATTTGTTTTTCCTCTTTTTTGTTTGTCTTTGGGATTTGTTGTTTTGTTGTTGGGATTTGAATACACTTGAGCCACTCCACCTATATATATATATACTCTGCCACTTGAGCCACTCCACCTATATATATATAGTCCATTATTAACTGTGAAAGCCACAGGACACCAATGACACTGAACTTTCACTGACTATGAAGATTTGATTTGTAACTCCTAGGTGACCGAGCATCAGATCTAAAGCCAGGAGAACAACGACTACTTGAGGCTGGTAACTGAGTAGCTCTACCTACCTAGACACACCTAGCCACATACTAACCTCATCTGAAGACGTGCCACCATCCCAAGTCACCTCAACATCCACTCAGCCAGGGTTAGTTTATGGTCAATGTTCCAAAATCTTCAGATCTGACCATAGCTTTATACATCTTACTTAAGAAACAGTACCATTTAAACGCTTTGAAAACATCACTATCAATACTGTAACACTATGAAGCTAATGCAGCATCAATATATTATAAGTGAGATTATAGATACATACCACTATGCCTGGCTTGTCAAGGTGAGGTCTTGCTAAGGTTTTCCCCTGGGCTGGCCTCTAATTTTTTTTTTTTTTTTTTTGAGATGGTCTCACTGTGTTTCCCAGGCAGGACTCAAATTTGTAATCTTCCTGCCCCATCCTCCCAAGTACTGGAGTTACAGGTGTGTACCACCAGCCCTGATTATCTCTATCTATGAATCTCACTATTTATCTATCATCCATCTATCTATCTATCATCTATCTCATTTATCTATCATCTGTCTTGTGGCAGTACTCGGGATTGAACTAGTCAGGGCTTTGGCTTGTTAAGCAAGTGCTGAGCTGCATTTACCAGTTAAGGTGGGTCACCACTCCATTTGGTTTCACTCTGGCTCTTGTGCCTCAAATAAGACGTGTTGTGGGGGAGAGGGAGGGGGGCGGAGTGGGTAGTAAGGGAGGGGGTGGGGCAGGGGGGAAAATGACCCAAGCCTTGTATGCACATGTGAATAATAATAAAAAATACCTGTTGTGGTGTTTACTGCCAGCCCTGCACTCTGGCAGGACCCTAGTTTCTCAGTACTTCAGAGGCGCCATTCTGCCCTCCTTGCTCCGCCCCACCTCACATCCAAGCACTAGGCAAAAGTCCCAGGGAGAAAAACCTGTCTGACCCTGTACACCAGCTACATGGCCATCAACACCCCTGCTGTTGCTCTTCCCCCAGCTGCCTCTCTTTCTCCACCCAGCTCGCCCAGACTCCACCAGTGTCACCCAGTGCAGGTACCAGGGTGTGCTTGCTGCTCTGCTAACCTGAGTGCTCTTTCCACTCTGGAATTTAGACCTTCAAATCTGTCTCCACCTCTCTTGTATAAAGCATGATTTCTGGCCTTGTACTCACTGTTCTTTTACCAGCCAAAGTTATAACTGGTCATGACAGTCTTCATCCTAATCAGAAACTGAAGCACCTTCATTATTGCAAATGTCTGTAGGATCTCTTTAAAAAAAAAAAAAAAAAAAGTTTGGGCTTGAGATGTGGCTCAACTGGTACAGCGCCTGCTTTGAAAGTGCAAAACCCTGAGTTCAAACCCAGTATCACCAAAAAAGTTTTCTGGGATGGCTCAATCAGTAGAACATTCCCACACAACCCTGCCAAAAAAAAAAAAAAAATAAATAAATAAAAGAAGTTTTCTGGTTTATTGTTTCTATTTCTTTACTTCTCTTCAGGGGAGTTAAATTTACTGTTAATTTTCTAACTTCTTTTTGCTTCCTTCCTTCTTTTTTCCCAGCAGGTGAGTTTTTTTGAAACAGGAGCTTGCTATGCAGTCCAGCCTGGCCTTGAACTCTTCATCTTCCTGCCTCAGGAGGCAGATGCACTACCTGGTGGCACTTCCCATGCCTGGGCCTCTGCAGTTTCCTTTGTCTCTGGACATGTCTTTGTATCCCTAGTTACAAACCCTGAATTTTGCCCTTTTAGCTAGACACACTCTTGCTTTCTATTTGGCTCTTCCCTGGGATGATGCTGGGAAAATGCAGGGGTGGATGTGGAGACTGCCTCTGGGCCCAATGATGCCAGTTGGAAGCAGCACACGGTGGCTCATGGCAGATGTTTTTCTTTCCTTTATTTAAAAAAAAATCACTTGGGGACATGGTGTGGAGGCACACCTCCCATAGCTTTGGGGAGGATGTGGGTTCCAGGAGGAATCACAGGGGCAGACAATGGGGTGGGATTATTGAGGCAGGGGAGGGTGGGTGCACTGTGTGGCACCTCTGGACAGGGTGTTTGGTAGCCATCAGGGCCAGGGCTGCAGTATTACCGGGGGCAATGGGTGGTACCCCCTAAGCCCCACAGCTATCCTGAGCCAGCTGGGGTCTTGTGGCATGTCAGTGGGGCCCAACCTATAGCAGTGCTGTCCCTCCTGGTATAGGCAGGGCTGAGGCCCTGCTGGCTGCTGGCCAAGCAGAATGGATAGGGCCTTCTAGAGAGGCCAGTGATGGCCCTTAGCTGCCCCATGGTAGGATGAGCAGAAACAGACTGCTCACCACTGGGACCAGGGGCTTCAGGACAGCACAGGCCCTCCACCCTCTTGCTCCCTAGGCTTAAGCCAGCATCCTGGATGGGGATGTCCAACAGGCCCAGGGTCAGGGTGGGTCTCAGGTGCATGGCAGGACACATCCCAGGGTCCCCAGAGAGCAAAGAAGAAGAGGAACACAAGACCCAGATCAATGGCTCTAGGAGCTCCTCACACACGTGGTCTCCGAGCAGAGAAGTAGGAATCTGAATGCATTGCAATGTGCAGTTAAAGCAAAACAGATGTGAGACAACGTCCTGGGTAAGTGGGTTGGTCATGTGGCCCTTGGCTGCAGGGATCAGGGTGGACACCCACACCCAGGGACCCCAGGCAGGCTAGGGTAGAGCCAGGCACAGTCCTGCCTCCTGAGGCTGAGGGGCTGACTTGTCAGGGCCTCAGCACACAGCAGCCACCTCCCCAGGGCCTCTGAACAAGCAGCCACACTTATGACCTATATGGAGACAAGGAAGCCTCTTCTGGGATACTGTGAAAGGTGTAGGGAGTGACATGTGGCTGAGGGAGGCCAGTTGGAACATAGCATGGGATGGCCTTAAGTGTGGAAGATGACTTCAGGGGCTTTGCTGTCCTCCACAGACAGGCCATGGTGGGGACAGCCTAGGTGTAGAAGACCTCAGAGCCTGGCCGTCCTCATGAACAGAGATGGCCTAGGTGAAGAAGGTGGCCTTAGGCCTGGCTGTCCTCATGCACAGGCCTGGCACGGTGGCCTTTGGGAAGACCTTAGGGCCTGGCTGTGGCCATACTGTGTGTGGCCTAGGTGTAGATGACCTTGGGACTCTGGCTGTCCTCCATGGACAGGCCATGGCGGGATGGCCTAGGTGGAGAGGAACTCGGGGCCTGGCCATGCATGCTATGGGCCACCTAGGTGTAGAAGATGACCTCGGGAATCTGGCCATCCTCCACAGACGTGCCATTGTTGTTCCCAGCCGCATAGCAAAAGGTGAAGCATGTGTCTTCGCCCCCGTTGTGGGTGACTCGTGGGTCACCTTGCGCAGGGCCTTGGTGCCATAGTGGGAGTCTGGGCCCTGCAGGAGGTGAAGACAGTTAGGTAAGGACCCCCAGGCCCAGGCCCACTTGGGCTTAGAGGACTCGCCTGGGCTGGGGTGGCTGAGCCCCAACTAGAGGAGTTCTGTGCCAGGGACCTTGAGACAAAACCCAAGTCCAGCCTACTGGCAGGGCACCCAGACGTACCTTGAGCGTGGCACAGGCTGTGTAGTTGACGTTGGGAGCACCTCCACTGGCCTTAAACATGACGCGGAAGGTACTAGCTGAGCCGTCACAGCTGAAGCCAGTATCATTCTGGCCCAGGACGGTGTTGCTGTCCGTGTGGATGATCTATGGGGTGAGAAGGCTATCAGTGCCTGTGGCTCAGAGTGGGCTACCTCGAGTCCTGCAGACTGGAAAAACATTCCTTTTGCCATGGGGAGCCATGGAGATCCTGGGACAGGCCGGTGTGGCCTAGTCTAGGACAGATGTGGAGCCTGATGTGGGGATGGTCTGGTACAGGTGTGGTTTGGGTGGTCCTGAGGTAGGTACGGTGTGTGGAGATGGAGCCTAGTGTAGAAGTGGAGCTTGGGTGTGGGTGTGGCCTGGGTAGGGGAGACCTGGTATGGGCATGGTCTGAGTGTGGGGTGCATCCAGTATAGGCATTATCTACAATATAGGCAGAGCCTGGGGTGTGGGGTGGAGGTTGATGTGTGTGCTGGTCTGCGGTGTGGGAAGCATTTGCAGGTAGGGGTGGAGCCTGGTATGGGTATGTGCTGTGGCCTGTAATATGTGTGTGGTCTGGAGTGAGGCTTGGGAGGGCGTGTCTGGATGGGACAGAACTGGATCTGAGGGTGGGGGAAGGACTGGTGTTGGCATGGTCTGGGCATGGGTGGAACTGGTGGCATACCTGGATGTTCACTTGGTAGTCAGTGGGTCCGTGAATGGATCCATAGAGCCCAAAGCCTACCACGAAGATGCGCTTGTTGACTGAGAACCTGCAGACAAGTGTTGATAGTTGCTGATCGTCTCAATATCCATGGACAGACAAGGACCAACAGCCAACATGGGCCAAACAGAAGACCAGAAGGGAGCTGAGAGACAAGCTCCAGGGTGGGCGCAGACCTGCCCTACATCCAGCTGCCTAACCTGGTCCTGTCCCGGTACTCCCCACGCAGCCCCTAGAACCCCTGCCCCCAACCAAGTTCCCCAAGCTCCACCTGCTGCAGTCTGCCCTGGGGCCCCCAGCTCTGTGCCTTTGCCCCCACCTGATGCGGTCACTAGTGCCACTGTAGCCCCAGCGGCTCTCCACCTGCTGGAAGCGGTTGATACTGCATTCCTTGCCCCGCAGGCAGCAGCGCGGCCGATCAATGAACTCCACGCGGGGCTTGGGGTTGACAGTGAAGTGCAGGAAGAGGCTGACCACTTCACGGTCCACCAGGATGCCTGACTGAGCCGGGCCTGTGGACAGAGGGATTGCTGAATGCAGGAGATGTGAAATGTGAGGGGAACATGCTTCTTCCTCTCAAGGTGGCTACATCTGATTTTCAAAACCAGTGGACATGGGCATCTACTCTCTAGGCCCCCCACCACTGTGCCACCCTTTTGCCCTGGAGTTTGAGGCTGGTGGACCCCATTTCCTGCCATGTGGAACATGGTCCCACAGCCCTCAGTCCAGGACCACTGTGAACTCACAGGTGGAAGCTGTGCCATTTCCGTCCATGCACAGTGTCATCAGCTATGGAGGGGTCACTCCATAGCTGATAGCCCCAGGCTGTGGCCTGGGCTCCTGGCTCCAGGGAAATACTTGAACAGCTAGCTCCCAAAAGCTTGCACCCAGAGGAGACGGTGGCCAGTGACCTCAACAGGCCCAGAGTCATGGGAAGAGTCCCTAAGGTGGCTGGAATCCAGAGGCAGAGATGTGATGAGGTTGGGTAGCTGAACCACAAGCTGAACATCAATGGTCACATGATGGCCACATACATGGGGTCCAGAGGCCCCAGGGTATATATAGCCCTCCCACAACCATGTCCTTCAGTGGTCCATTCCAGGGAAGAGCAGGTCAAATGTGCCCAGCTTGTCTAACAACACAGGTTGGCTAGGCATCATCTTCCCACTGTAGGAGAACCCCTCATTTACCAGTTTTATGCTCACTCTGAAGGACTGGAGGTATGACTTAGTGGTGAGCTCTTGTTTACCACATGCAAGGCCCTAGGTCCACCCAGCATAGCAAAAGGAAAGACAATCCCAGCTTACTGCTCGGTTCACAGCTGCAAGACAACCCAACACCTAAACAGGTAATATGCTGGAAAAATAGGCTGCATGGGTTAAGTGAATCAGAAAGATCAGAGAATAAAGTGAAACGTCAACATTTAAAAAAGGTTTCTGCCTCAAAAAGCAGAAGAAAAACCCCAGGATGCTTGGTGGGCTGTGGTTGAGGGGAGGTGATCTCATCTGATTCCTGCTGTCTCTATTTCCCACTCAGGCTTGCTGAGCAGAGGGAACCCTCCCAACACATAGAGCCAAGGGGTGGGTAGTCCCTGTCGCCACCTCACCCTGTATAGACGTGGTCAAACTTGAAGGAGTACAATTGACTTTTTCCTGGCACCTTCTCTGGGCCCAGTGGTACCACAAGCATGATGTCCCTGCCCTAATGGGCACTAGCTGGGGAGAAAGCTCAGATAAACCAGCTGACACATGCCTAGCCATCACCCTGGGAGACTGAGCAGGGTGAGCGGCTAGGGCTGGGTAGGTGGACAGACCAGGGCCTCTGGGCTCAACTTGAGCACCATTACAGGGAAGGATGCCACTTTAGGACCCACCAGTGTGGTTCAGGGCTTAGGGAAATGGCAAAACCTTTGGCATGGGGGCTTAAGTGGATACCTGTGGACCTGTTGTGGGCTCCCAGGTGTCTGGCCATGAGGCCATTTCTGGAGACAGCTAGGGTATAAGGAAGATCAGGATGCTGGTGTGGTTGTGAGATGGACACAGGAGGTTCTGGAAGGTCTGGGTGACTCCAGGAAGGAGGCAGGGAGACAGAGTGACAAGAAGGACCCAGGGCTGTGTAGGCACAGCCTATCCTGGAGACTGCATGCAGCAGGTCAAGAAACCTGAGACCCCCCCCCAAGAGGCACAGAGGGAGCAGGTTTGGGGGAGCAGGCAGAGGAAGTGTGATGTTTAGGATGGGCGGTGCCAAGGTTGTCAGTCAATGCTCAAGCTGGAGCCAAGTCAGATCCTGGTCCACAGCTGGCACTCAATACATATCTGGTGAATGAGTGACCTCCACAATATGGAGACCTCTCAGGCCTTCACACTATTCTCAAAACACCCCAGTCCACACATTCCCAGTCCTGGGATGGGGTAGATGCCAGGCACAGAGGAGTCATCTGAGACCACCAGTCCCAGCCAAAGCTTGACAGGGAAGGGGGTCTCTAGGCAGGAATGTGAGCTCAGCCCAGGTAAGCTCCCACCGGTACAAATACACTGCCGGCTCACGCCAGGGGTCAGAGGCACAGCTTCTGACCTCCTGTGACCTCTGAGCCACAGTGTCACAGAAAGTTCTGGTCACCCATGCCCTAGTGGTACATCTACCAATCATTCCCTTCTGGCCCATTAGCAGCAACTGTTGTGAGGCCTGGTGCTGGACCCAGACAGCAGTGGCAGCCTCTGGGCAGGGCCACACCTCACTCCCTCCTCTGATCTTGATTTGCTCATCTGTAAAGTGAGTCTTTATTATTCTTTATTATTCTGAGTGGGGCAGGACATGGACCTGAGCCTTGAGGTGCAGCAGTGGGAAGGCACCAGGAACAGAGATTACACCAAGTGAGCGCTGTAGGACAGTTGGGGAACTTGTGGGAGTAGGGGGAGGGAATGGCACAGACCCTTCCACTGTCTTGAGGGATGCAACAGGCCACCCCAGGCTTTTCCCAACAGCATCCAGGCTGAAGGGTCCCCAGGAGACACAGCTGGGATCACTGGTACTGAGACAAGGACAGAGGGAGGGGGTAAAGTGGGACAGGTCTTGGTCAAGGGCCCCCAATGCCTCCTAGTGTTTTGCGACAGGTTCTACACCCTACCCTGGCCAAAAGACAAGGCATTGTGGTTCCTAAGAGGAGCCTTATTCTTGACAGGAAGCAGGAGGCACTGGCTGCACTCCATAGGGTGGGCTGGGTCCTCTAGAGCCACAGGCACACAGCAGGCACTGGTGTGACAAAGGACATATCACAGGTTGCATAAAGCCTATCTCGTGCACCCACAACCTAGGAGAGTTCCCAGATGAAATGTAGACTGGTTGCATGAATCTGAGCTTCAGACTAATAAGAAACAATTTTTAGGATAAGCATGTCCTGCACAGCGAGTGGAGAAACATACTAGAAAAGTAATTATCCTCCTCTTATTCACTAAGTCTGGCAGGAGCAGGTGTGTGGGCCTGGGAGACAGATGTCAGGTCTGCACAACCACAGGGGTATATCACAGAGCCCCTTTTGGAACCTGCCAGGATGAGGCCAGAGCCACATGGCCCCAGATATGAATGTCCACACAAAAGCAGAGATATGTCAGCCCCTTCCCCTTGCCATCTTCCTGTAGGAGGGGACCTGAAGCCTACCTGCTGTGCACAGTAACTGGCCCTGGCCACTCAGACACCTCATATGGGCTTGTGGTGATGCTAAAGCCTGAGCTTGCCCAAAATGTGGAAATCTCTGTCTCCTGAACCAGTATTCCCAAAACAGAGGGACAGACATTCAGGAACTGGTGGCCCCTGCTCCCATCCACAGTGGTGTGGTTCACAGAGAAGGCTTACTCTAGCCTTTGTACTTCATGCATCTCCAGCACTCCTACAATAAACATGGCATTGTGATTGTTGCAGGGTAGACAAGGGCAAGTCACTGAGGTTGGGCTCCTCCCAAGTCGACCATGGCCCAGCTCCCCAAGCTTGTTACCTGCTGCGAACTCCTCAATGGTCATCAGTGGGAAGCGGATGAGGCCCAGGGCCTTGCCCAGCACCTTCCGCTTGTTCTCAGGTGTCACTTGTAGCTGCTGTCGCTGACACTCAGCCTCAGACCAGCGGACAACTGCATTGAACAGCCGGACCTCGCGGATGCCCAGGGTGTCACGCTCCAGGACGGCTACCAGTGTGTCTGTGAGTAGAGGGAGAACATGAGCCTGGGCATGTGCTACCTCATATGGGCTTGGGCTGTGTGTGTGATACCATACATGGACCAGCCTCACAGCTGGAGCACAGCAACCACAGCCCTCTGCCTGTGTTTGTCAATAAAGTTTTATGAACATGTAGCCACTTCTACTCACTGTCCTCAGTGGCTTTAATCCTACAAGGGCAGACTCAAGTGTCTGACAGAAGTCATTTACAACAAGAGTCCTTCAGAGGAAAAGCAGACTGATCCTCTGCTAAGAGGAGCAAGTGGTCTCCCTGGGCAGAGATCATGGCAACCCCAGGACAGCAGTGCCTGTCCTCAGCCCACCAAGCCCTGCTACCAAAATCCTCCCAGTCTGTAAGAACCCCAAGCTCCCCCTCACCCCAGGTCATGGGTCCCCACTCATCTGAGTTTCCCTGAGGCCTCCAGACCAGCTCAGGCCCTGCTTTTTACCTATGACCCACCCATCAGGGCCCAACAGGATCCCTACATCTTGTGGTTTTGGTGGGGGTCAGGGGACAGGGGACAAACTCCATGCTCTGGCCCTGTCAAGCTCACCCAGGTCAATGTCAGTGAAGCCCTCAGCAGTGATGGCATCAGCTGTGTTCTTGTCGATGTTCTCTAGGCACAGGCTGGCCAGCTGCGGCTCATCGAAGAGCCGCGCCTAGAGACATGGGAGATATCAGCACCCAGCAGAACAGGACTGTGATAGATCTGCCACCACATGCCCAGCTGAAAACCTACTGCAGCTGGGTGTGGTGGAGGCACCTGTCATCCCAGCTACTCAGGAGGCTGAGGATCACTGGAGCAGAAGACCAGCCCGGAGAATGTAACAAGACCCCATCTCAGAAAAACAAAGCAAGCTACTACAATTTTAAGTTTTGGCCACAAAGCCTTGTCCCCAGGGCATCCTTAACAGGGAACCCGAGCAGTGAGTCTCACCCTACTCCTCTGGCTGCCTACTGGCCTTAGCCAGCTGTTCATTTCATGGCTCCCTCGCAGCTGCTTGCCTGCCGTTTCCAGCTTACACAGCCTCATCAGCAGCCCCAGTCCATCAGAATCCAGACAGCCCAACAAGGGGCCCCTGACCCCCACCACCTCCCTGCCTAGAAGCCAGGAGTGAAGACAGACTTGTGTAGAAACATCCTGGGAGTAAAAGGACATTCTCCAAGATGCTTCATGCACCATGACACCCTCCCCACAATGGTTGGGTTGAACAGGTGTGTGTGTGTATAGGAAAAACACCACACTCGCTTGACCTCAAGGCAGGACCAACCTTGGTCCCAGCTACGCCTGTCCCCCAGTGCCCCTAGCTGAACCTCTACCCACCTGTGTGAGCAACATGAATGCATTGTCTGCCCTCAGGTTCTTCTTGAGGAACTCCACGCAATGAGCCTCAAGTGCGGGCACCGCATACTTCTTAGCTGTGTACAGCGTGGTCATGACCGTCTCAGGTCCAATCTGCACCTCGTCTGAGTACAGGAACCTGAGTGGAGACATGGTAGCCATGAGGTGGGCAGTACCAGGCGACCCCTTGATGGACAGAACTGGCCACCCACCCTCAAGTCTCCAGGATACAGTCATACCATTTCACAATCCAGAAGATTCCCCCAGTCTTTCAGAATCAGCGTCTGTGGTACCCTCTGGCCTAGGACATAACTCAGTAGTATCTGTCACGCATGAGGCTAAACCCTTGTACAGATGTCGAAGTGTCTGGGAAACATCTACATTACATGGCTTGTCTGGGGAAGGGATGAGAGGGTGGGGCAGGAGGACCACGTGTTTGAGCCCCAAGGCCATCCACTTCCCCTAGTGGGACTCAGTCCCGTCTCAAATGTCAAGTACTTCTGGATGAAGTAGTTGCCCACCTCAGCCACAGTCCTAATGGACATTACAGCTGTCCGCTGTTCCATAACAGTGAATGTGTATGAGTAGCTGATTAAGAAAGAAAGAAAAGAAAAAAAAAGCAGGGCTGGGGGCATGGCTCATGAACATCTGCCTATCAAGTAAGAGACCTTGAGTTCAAACCCCAGTACTGTCAATCAAAAAAAGAAAAAAAGAAACAAAAACCACATGAAAAAGGGCGAGGGTACTAGAATGGAGGGGCCCTGGTTCATTGCTGCAGGAGGGAAACTGGTGGGGCTACTGGGGAAGAGGTCATAGCTGTCAAAGGGTCAAAGGTAACAATTATCAAGAGTTTTAACTCCATGGGGGTAAACCTAACCAATGTTCAATGTAAGCATACTCAGAAATTCTCCAATGAATTCTCCCTGTACAATTAATGTATGCTAATAAAAGGAAGAAAAAAATTATTAAAGAAAAGAGTTGACCAGGTGCCAGTGGCTCATACCTGCAATCCTAGCTTCTTAGGAGGCAGAGATCAGGGTGATCATGGTTTGAAGCCAGCCTGGGCAAATAGTTCCCAAGACCCTATCTCAAAAAAACCCATCACAAAAAAAGGGCTGGTGGAGTATGTCAAGGTGTAGGCTCTGAGTTCAAGCCTCAATAGAGGAAAAAAAAGAAAGAGTTGGAATTCCTATTCTGACATAACAGAGTTTTATTTTATTATTATTTTTTTTTTTGGTGGGACTGGGGTTTGAACTCAGGGTTTTGCCCTTGCAAAGCAGATTCTCGACTGCTTGGGCCACACCTCTAGTCTATTTTGCTCTAGTTATTTTGGAGATGGAGGTCTCTATGCTATACTGGAGCAGCACACAGCCATAAACAGGGAGAGGGTCTGACATACACTATAATGCAAAGGGACCTTGAGGACACTTTGCTCAGTGAAAGAACCAGACACAAAATGTCCAAGTGTGTGACTCCATTGATAGGAAATGTCCAGAAAAGGCAAATCCAGGCATGGGAAGTAGACTCATAGGTGATGGTGATGGGTTTCCTTTTGAGTGATGGAATGTTCTGAAACTCAATAGAGACAATGGTTGCACAACTTTGAATATACATTTGACCCTGGAACAATGTGGAGGTCAGAGGCACTGACGCCACACAGTCAAAAAGCCAAGTATAACTTCTTTATTTATTATTTTTTTTTGGTGGTACTGGGGTTTGAACTCAGGGCCTCCCACTTGTTAGGCAGGCACTCTACAACTTGAGCCACTCCACCAGTCCTGGTTTGTGTTGGGTATTTTCAAGACAGGATCTTGTGAACTGAACCCCGATCTTCCTGATCTCTGCCTTGCCAGAAGTTAGAATTACAGGCGTGAGCCACCAGCATCTAGCACAAGTGTAACTTCTGACTCTCCAAAATTTAACTATAGTGTTAGGGTATAGCCCAGCAGTAAGCAGTTGCTTAGCACGCATGAGGTCCTGGGTTTAGCTCCAGCACCACAAAGAAAAAAGTAAAAGAGGGTTGGGGGGAAAGAAAGGGGTGGGTGGTAAGGGAGGGGGTGGGGGCAGGGGGAGAAATGACCCAAGCATTGTATGCACATATGAATAATAAAAAATAAATTAAAAAAAAGAAAAAAGTAAAAGAAAAAATTAGTCAGTTTAAGAGATGGGTCTCAAAAACCACCTCTCCTTTCCAGTATTCTAGAACTCTCCATTGAGCTGTGGGCTCCAGAGCAAATGAAACCAGGGGTCAGAAATCACTAGGGGTCTGTCTTCTGACTTGTACACATTCATGCCTTACCCCATGGTTGGAACATCTGGAAGCTTACTTGAGCAGTGCCAAGAAGGCAGCAGGTTCCACGTCAGGCAGCTCAATCTCAGTGGATGTGGTGGCCATTCCACCATTGAACATGGCATCAAAGACAGCACTGCCCACGGCCAGCACAAACCTGTGGCAGGAGAGAGAACATCTGTGAGCCTCACTTGTGGCCCTGAGGCAGCCCAGGACAGCATCTCTAGTCACCCACCTCCCCTGGGGACCTCTGCCAGTCCCAGAAGATGCCTGTCCTTACAGAACACTGTGGCAGATGCTTCTAGAAGGAGGGCAACAGGAGGAGGGAGGAGGCAACCAGAGGGGTCAACACAACACAGCAGGACAGCCCACGCAACGGTGCTGCTTCATCCATGTGTCCATCCATCCATTCATTCACCCACTCATTCACTATTTCACTCCCTCACTCACCACATTCACTCATTCGCTCATTCACTTTCTCATTCATTTGTTCACTCATTCACTAACTCACTTACTGGTTTGCTCCCCCTCTCCCTGCAGGCACAATTCTCGAGGATGGGACCACAGGACCCAGACACAGCTGGACAGTCTGAGCCTGAGCTGGGGTGAGAGGATGCAGCCCCGTGGAGCGGAGCAGAGACTTAGGAAGGCTGGTGGTTATTAAATCTAGGCTGAGTTCTTGGGGCTTGGGAAAGCACTGTGAGGCAGGAAGGGATTGGTGAGCCAGACTGCCAGAAACCAGCCTGGCTACTGAGAGGAAAGGGCACCTAAGCCCTAACTGTGAGCTCTCTAGCAGATCTGCCGGGTGACCTGACACAGAGACCTGGCTCAGGACACAACTCCTATTCGGCACTGTGCACAGGGCCCCCAGGGCCAGCCCACCTGGTCTCCCAGGGGCCACAGGCATGCAGCTTACCCACTACAGAAAACCTGGCCCTCGGAATTGGAAAGCTTCTATGTTACCTCCTCCCTGGACCCCACACCAAAGTCTCCACAATGAAAAACTCAGGCTCAGAGCAGTCTCCCCACCCAGAAACTTCCATAGAGGGCTGATGGGCCTTACACCTTCTGGCAGGGCACAGTCCACCAGCCCAATGGTGCTACCTCTTGGACTGGGCTGGGTACCCAGCAGCTCCTTGAAAGTCTAGTCCTGGGAGCCCTTCCCTACTCAGGGGAGGGGAAGCCCTACCATCCTGGGTGAGCCCGTGTCCTCAGGGAAGTCCCTGTCATCGTTATTCTGCTCTCTCTGGGTCTATCTTGCTGGTTTCATCTTGAGGGCCCTCTCAGGCCCTAACATGTTCACTCTGGCCCAGGGCCTGACCACACTTAGGGTCAGGCTAGAGACAGGAGCAGTCAGAAACTGAGTGTGGTGGGATTACTTAAACAGTAACTATGCCCACCCAGAACCTCACTTGGAAATAGGTCTTTGCAGATGGAATGAGTTAAGATGAGGCCACACAGAAGTTGGGTGACCAAAGATGGAGACTAGTGTGATGTGGCTATAGCCCATGAACGCAGGAATGTGGGGGAGCTTCAGCTGCTGGCAGAGGCAAGAAAGACCTCCCTGGAGCCTGGGAGGGAGTGTGGCCCTGCAGCCTACAGAGCCAAGGAGGATGACACTCAGTTGTTCTGGCCAGCTCCCTGTCCCTATCCTTGTGGGACCAGGTACCCTGACTGCACATCACTGTGCAGTGGCTCCCCAGCATGGATTCGATAATACAAGACTGTGTTCCAGAAGTAGTCTCTTCATGAGTCTTCCCTTGCTTAAGAAGCCATCTTGACCCCTGCACAAAGCCTCTGACCACTGTCCCCTCAAAGCTAAAAAGCAAAGTCCAACCACTCACTGTGGCTACAGCCCAGGCAGTTTTGCAGAGCCACCTCATGTGTGGCCAGGGCCTTGGGTCAGCACCTCATGCTGCCCACAGCACTCTTGTAGCCATCTCAGGCATCTCCAAAGCAGGAGCTCCACTGCTGCCCCCTCCAGACATCCCAGCAACCTTCAGCTCCAAGTAGTCAGTTGCTCCCCAAGCACATCTGTTTGTCCACCAGACCTTCAGCTCCTCCCACTAGCCTCCTCTGAAAAAAACATGAATGCATATGTGCCCATGAAGGAATGTACACACATGTTCACAGCAGCAAGATTTAAGACAAAAGGTAGGAGCAGTTGTGTCCGTGGATGCATGGGTGGATACACATGGTGTAGTCCATACACACACTAAATGTCATGCAGCCATGAAAAGGAAGGACATTCTGGTACCTGCTACAATGTAGATGGACCTTGAGGACACGATGTTCAGTAAAGAAGCCAGACATGGAAGGACACATACTCAGGATTCCACTCTCAGAAGGTCCCTACAGTCAACAGATCCACAGAGACAGGAAGTAGGATAGTGGGTGCTGGGGAGGGGATGGGAGTTAGTGTTTCATGGGGGTAGAGTTTCATTTTCGGAAGGTGGAAAGTTCTGGAGTTAGATGGAGGGAGCAGTTGCACAATCATGCAAATGTGCCTAATGCCACCAAACTATGCACTTGAACAGTTAGGATGGTACACTTTATGTTATCACAATTTAAAAAACAAAAGAAAAAAAAAGAATGTCAAAGTAGTGTGAAGGAACAGAGAATACAAACTACCTTGGTGTTTTTGGAAACCAAATCAAGTACTAAAACACTCATACTGCACACAAATGGCTACAAATCCATCTTAACCATGGAACCTCTGTGAAACCCCAAAACTCAAGAGTGTGGGCACATCCAGAGTGGAGAACTCATCTTTATGCAGCAGGGTGGTAAAACTCCACAGGCACAGAGTTCAGTGCTCAGGGCCCTTCTAGACCTCACCATACATCTCTTCCTCTGGCTGTTCTTGTGGATCTTTTATGTGTGTGTTGTGTGTGTGTGTGTGAGGTTGGCTTTGAATTCAAATCATCCTGCCTCAGCCTCCTGAGTGCTGGGATTACAGGATTGCACCACTAGGCCCAGTAAGACCAGCAATATAACCAGAAGGGAATATCTCATCATGAACAAAGGCTCTATGTGGCAGGAGTTTGTGGCAGTTACAAAGGCACACACTGTGTGAACACACAGCAAGGAACAGAGCTCAAAATCTATGAGGTGCACGCTAAGGTAAGTAAGGACAGAAACAGTTCAACAAGGATTGGTGGAGTGGCTAAAGCGGTGGAGCATCTGCCTAGCAAGTGTGAAACCCTGAGTCCAAACCCTAGTGCCACCAGAAACAACAAAAAAGACAGAGTTCAACAACTGCATAGGGAGTTTTCACACCCCACTGTCGGTCAACAGATTAACCAGATGGATAATCAGCAAGGATGTGGAAAAGCTGAACAACACCATCACCAGCTTGTTTGTTTTTGGCAAAACTGGGGATTGAACTCAGTGCTTCACACTTGCTAGGCACGTGGTCTACCACTTTAGCCACACCTCCAGCCCTACCATCACCAGCTTGACCACAAAGACATTTGTGGATTCTCAGCCTAAACTCAGCAGAATATGGTCTTCTCAGGTTCTCACACACAAAGAAATCCAATTAGAAATCAACACCAGCATTAGATAGGAGGATTAAGTCCTGGTACTCTATGGCACCACGGGGCAACTGGAGTTCACGATGATTTACTGCATATTTCGAAGACTGGCTATTGAATGTTCCCTGCGCAAAGACATGATAACTATTTGAGGTGATCCACAGGCTACTTTCCCTGATATGATAATTACACATTGTATATGTATATCAAAATATTACACTGTACCCATAAATATGTACAACTATTACGTGTCAATTAAAAAATGTTCTAAAGGGTTGGAGGAATGGATCAGCAGTAAAGGACTAGCCTAGTATGCTCGAGGCCCTGGGTTTGATTCCCAGCACTGCAAAATAAAATAAAATAAATCAGTAACAGAAAGGTATCTGGAAAATGCCCAACTATCTGGAAATTAAACAACACAATTCTAACTGACGCACAGGTCAAAGAAGCAGCACAAGGAAGTTGGGAAAGGCCGCTGATGGAATGCAGAAGGAAACACTACACATCAAATGGAAGGACCAGCCAAAAGTGAGCAGAGGCAAATCTGTCATTATATTATGTATCTATTGTCCCACACGGAAAGCAGTAAATCTAACAGCAATAAATTAAGCTTCTACCTCAAGAATCTAGAAAAATGGAGCAAGCCAAACACAAAGTACAAAGGAAATAATAAAGATCAGAGCAGAAGTTAAAGAAATAAGGAACAAGAGCTAGGCATCGTGGCATTGCCTATAATCCCAGTTACTCAGGAGGAGGCAGGAGAATGGTGAGTTCAAGGACAACCCAGGCAAAGTTAGCAAGATCCTGCCTCAAACACAAGATAAAAACAAAAGGGCTGGGGATGGAGCACTTGGCTTAGCATAGGCAAGGCCCTGGGTTCAATGCCTTAGCATTATAAAAAAAATAATAAAAAGTAAATAAATAAGGATGAAACATAGAGAAAAATCCATGAAATCAGGTTGCTTTTTGAAAAAAATTGCTAAAAATTTTAGCTAGACTGATCATGAGGGAAAAAAAAAAGCCACAAATTAGGAATAAAGAGGGAACACCTCTATAAACCCTAAAGAAATTTATATATATACATATATTAGCACTACTGGGATTTGAACTCAGAGTCTCACACTTGCTAGGCAGGCACTCTACCACTTGAGCTACTCCACCAACCAACCCTCTTTTGTGTTTTTTCAAGTTAAAAGAGTATCATGAACTATTTGCCCAGGTTGACTTGGAACCATGATCCTCCTGATCTCTGCATCACAAGTAGCTAGGATTACAGGTGTGAGCTACCTGAGCCTGGCAAGATACATTTTTTAAAGCGGTCTGGCCTATGTAGCTCAGGCTGGCCTTGAATTCAAAATCCTCCTCGATTCAGCCTCTCATGTGCTAGGATCACAGACAGTGGGAATTAAGAGAATTTGAAGGGAATATTATAAACATCTTTATGCCAACTAATGAAGGCAACTTTGGTAAAAGAGACTACTTCCCAGACAGACACAGATGGCCCTAACAGACTCAATGAAGAAAGAGAAATCTAGTGGTGAGCATGACCACTTACATAGTAGCATGATCAAGGCTCTGGGTTCCATCCCCAGACCTGCCCTCCCACCCCTCAAAAAATACA